CCGTGATTTATGAGGGTCGTGGGCAGAGCTATTACGTCCTCGAGTATTTCTCAATCGGTCCCGCGATACACGATCAAAGGTAATCTTCAATACCACCCGCGATCGTATAAAACCCTCCATGATCGTTAGTGGCCTATCAAGTCCTAATTAATTTCAGGGTCCTATTAAGTCGGGTTTTATCTGAAATAATAGCTGACAGCACCAGTCTTGGATTCTTGCGAATATCTCTTCGCATCTACTACGGAACATGATCAGCATATTCCATTCTTCTTTCCTTCGCGATTTCAATTTGACTAATTACGTAGGATCATCTGTTTTAAGTTAAGATATAATTTTTGTCAAGTCATAGTGTTATTCCGATGTTAATGCCATTCTTTCCTATTTTAATGAGGTGTTGAATATTTTGAAAAGATGTATCAAGATACATGCATTTATGCATTAAATCGTTTTGTTTTAATGTATTCCTGCTATTGCGTTTATATTATACATTTTTTTTTATATATCTTACATTTTTACATTATCGTAATAATCATTTTTATTATATTTTTTACGTTCTTCATACCTGAAGTAACGTAAACAAACCCAAGTGGCGCACAATGATTTATGAAATTTCATTTTTGTAATTCTGTCAATTGAAATCTTTACATCATATCCTGAACATACTGAGAACTAGAACAACGATGGAAATATTGATAATACAAGACAGGAGTTAAAAGTTCATTTATACACCTGTTATTCATACGTACAATGTTTCTCGTTTCCTTTCATATTAGCATATTATCATACATCAGAGAAATCGTAATAAAAATTGATAAAAGCCTGTCATTATGGATACTGTTCGATACGAGAGTGACGCCGATACGAACGAGCAATCGCACAACTTTCAGCATAATTATTTCCTCGTCGTTATCTCCTATTTTTTTAACGTTGCACTTTACAGAGCATAACCGAGCAGCGGACTAATTCAATCGTCGTCTTTATCCCCAAGTAACTGACCGCTACCGTTACTCGTTAATTAAGGAAATATCTTAATTACCGTTCAGAATTCCATAAGTGGCCCATATCGTCCGCACGAGACCAACGCTCGTCGACGGAGGATGCGGGCCCTATCGAATTTTTTTTCTCACACCGATCTCCGTGCACATCCGTGCGCTTTTTATTACCTTGAATCTCTAATGAAAATTTTATTGGCCATGAATATCGTCGTAATGAACCATTAATTTCAAAATCGTCGACGAAAATTTATATTTACAAGTGACACTTAATCTAATAATTTCATATGTAAATTATAGTAACTAATCTTATTGAACGTTAATGTTAAATTAACTATGGGTTGACGAGCGAATTGCGCAAGAGAGAATTACAATTTTGCATCGTTGCATATGCGAACTGTTTCCTTCGACTTCCCTCATTCTTAATTGTTTTTCATTCATGATACGAGCTACCTGGCACGGATCACACACACGACCCGCTTTTTGCAATTCTTCTTGAGAAGATAAAAGTGTTTGTTTCCGCGATGATGTTCCCCACGAGATATATGTACATATATGTACGTATTACCCAGAGTACGTCCAGCGTCCTTCGGAATTTTCTAATTAATTGATTCTTTTATCAAATGAATTACAAGGTTTCTTTAGAGGTCCACTCATTCATTACGGAAATAATATTTCTAAACGAGGAACCGATTATATCATCGCAATTAAAATAAATGTTTCCTCATTTTATAAATTTCTGATACGAACTTCCTATGCTTACTGAGAATAAAATGTATTTTTAGACAATACAGCATCGCTTACATTATCCTTTTATGTGTAACACAGGACGATACGCTGATAAGTAACCACAAGATTATTGCGAGTTTCTCGTATTAGTTACTCAGTCGCATTAAATCATATCCTATTTACACCAAACTTGTCTCATGTTTAAAAATGATCATCCGTTCGCAAATGTATTGCCAAATACGTACTTACTGTTCGTCGTACGTCGCATGAAACTTTCTTTGGATCGTGTGAAACGCTGGTGTATCCCGCGTCCGTCGTTGCTTTTTCTCGAAATCTACAACGAAGGCGACACACGTTTAGACGTTCGGTCTGCATTTCAGGAATACTCAATGTGGTGATACTTTGTATTCTCGCGGCCTGTTGAAAATACACGCTACTACGATCGGAGTGTACAGCCAGGTAAAACGTGTCGAGATCGCGAAACGATCGGTTGGCAAGCGAGCCACCACGGTTCTGAGAAAATAACGTGCATTTGCACCTTTCAACCATCTTCGCAGTCGCATAATTTTTGTATTCCTCTCGATTAGGTATACATACATATATATACTTGTGAATTGGTAAATTAACCAGTTAGAAGTGAATTTTCCGTTTACATTACTTTTTATGTATATAAGACAATGAATAGTAAATTCATATGTATTTTTTTATCAATATTCCTGCTGTGTATTAAACGTCTGTGTCTGTATTTAACGATCCGTAGTGGAATATTTTGAAATTGTAAGATAGTTCAAGCAGGTTGTTTCACGTAATTAATATTGTTTCTAAAATAGTGCAAAATAACTTGTGAAATATTGATAAATTGTGAGATAAACTGGTAATGTACAAATTACACTGTTTGATAAAATTAACATAGCAAACAGACGGAAATATAAGCGTAATAGTGAATTAAATAATGTTATTTAGTTCTCAATAGTTTCATGAAATATTTTTTATTTCCTCTTCAATAAACAATCCGAAATTCAATGGGTTTCTGGTCGCAAATCGAAGAAATAAGGAAATAATTTTACACAGGGTTATAATTGAAGATTACGTTCATATTTCAACGAACGCTCGGTCGCGTCGGGAGTTTCAGTGCCCTGCGATTGATATCTTTTAACCCGTTCACGAATTCTTCTTTTCTTTTTGCGCGCTGTCACTTGTTCTGGCTCGCCCACGCTTCGAATAACCTGTACATATGTAAACCGACCGGTTAACCACTATCGTGCGAGTTAGAAGGGAAGGGACTCGTATTCACATATACCTGCGTATAGCTTCGTATGGGTATATCTGGCGAAGCGGGCGTACCTGAGATCCTCAACCGTGAATCGTGCGAGCCGCTCCAGTCGAAAATTAGTGGATTTTCAAGGGGCGCTGTTTCGTTTTTTACGGTTCTCAAAGCATTTCGTTCCGTAATTAATGGGCCGGGCTTTAAATATATTATTGTGCGCGATAAAATCGCTGAGAATTAATTAAACCAAAGTGGAAACGTTAATTAAGCGGTCGCAAGTATAAAATGCAGATAGGAAGCTGAGGAAATTGGTTTATCTTTTATTTTGATCTGCACGCGAATTTATTTCATTCAAAAACGCTTCGTCATCGTTTTACTGGATTACAGTCGATAAACGACGGGATGTTAGTAGTAGAAATGATATTTCAATTAAAAAGTATGAGAAATCGAAGACTGATATCTGCACACGCGAAACCACTTGCCGTATCCGCTCCACTTCCAACGAGCAAAATCGAAGTGAAAGTCGGCGAGGCCATTCTCAGATCATTCACAGTCTCCTGCAGGATACAGATGTTTGAGATCCTTCAACCACGATCGCTTCGGGCGAGGACTGTGAATGAAAGACGAGGTAGTGGCCAGAGCCAGAGACACAGGAACGACCCGTTTCACGCGCGTCACGCGATCACCCGGTGCGCGTACCGAGGGAACTGAACACACGCTCCTACAGAGTAACGAATATTAAAGTTTCTCCCTTAAAAATATTTCGATTACTAATACGAGTGGAATATTTCATGGTTTGTCTTTTGGCATAATTCCGGAATAATTTTATTTGAAAAAATTGATCACGAAATCATTTCTTACCTCATTCTTCTCCTACAAAACTTCCTATTCTTCTGATATTCTTTACGATAATTTATGAACATTCATATATATTGTAAACATCGTTACACATCGAAACTCATCGATATTAAACAAGTGAACTCCGTATCTGTGCGATGAGGTAGACTATTAATGTTACCCTGTCGAAAATATGGGTCTAAGTCTAAACATAGGAAAATACTTATGCAGGATCAGTCGAGCTTATTGCCCTTTGCATTCTTCATTATTCTCTTATCATCAAAAAGTTGAGTTTCAGGTGAAGTCGATGATGCTGTTTGCTTAATAGTATCGAACGAAATATACTATTATTATGTACTATGCGAAACCTTAATTACTCTATTTAAAATTTCCTTCGTAACTGGTAAATTCGTAACTCGTAACTGAAAAATGTGTAAATATCTCAGTAATTAAATTGACTAGTTGAATATAACTATATACTCTTAGATTTTGTTCAAATTACTTTGAGTATCCTATATTATCTAAAATAAGTAATAATGAAAATGCAATTTTCCGTGCATTCCTTAATAGCGATTAAATTCTCATTATCTGACGACTTGGCACTAACGAAAGGGGTTAATGCGTTAAATAAGCGAAAATACAAGAGACAAGCTAAAGCTTTTACGAAGCGTGATCGCGTTCCGTTACGCGAGTCCATTAGACTCGGACCTTCTTTTTCCGTGTAAAAACAGTTTTACAAGGCACGAGCCTCTGCGCAGCTTGTTACGTAACGACATCCTCTTTTGCGATATCTCGACACTGTCTGCTCTAAGACATACACAGGTATTCCACATCAGGCAACCGTGAACAGGTTCTGCCGCGAATTTCTGCCTGCTGCACCGTGGCCGTTTCTCCGGTTCTCTCACCAACTCCGATTTCCGGTGAACAAACGGAAATCGCAACGAGCCAGCTAACTTGGCTACTGGACGTGTAAATATCGATGCTGACGAACCGGCTGATTCCATAACTCATCGTCCTCACTCGTATCAAACGCGAGAATGCGACGCAACGACAGAATCATCAGTAGGAGAAACGGTAATCATAGGAAGCCATGCGCCACGCTGCACCGTGCAGTGTACATTAAAGTTCATTAAAGTTCGACAACATTTCTATATTGCAAAACTGGATTACGCGATGAGTTTGCGATCAATTCGCGACGGGGGCTCACGATTTTGTACTATCATAGTCATCGGCGAGGAAGGAACACAGGATGTAAAATGTTATGAAGGAAATTCTAAACAAATCACTTTCGTTCGTGCGATCGTTAACAGCACATGTATAAGCCATGAGCAAACCGAAGGACGTACGTTTCTCACCGACGAATGGTATATGATTTATGAAGTAACTCTCCACGTTAATATATTCCGAGACAAAATATCTTTTTTCATGAATTTGTTATGGATAATTGCAGCACGTATAACACGTTAAAAACCACGGAATAGCATTGAACCACTGTGGCGCAACAGTCTCGAGTTGTTTATTGCTGATTAACTACTCTCGCGAGCTCGTTAATAAACGGTGCAGCGTGGTAGTCCAGTGACTATTTTCTAACTGGAAAAAAAGACCGAACGAGTTACCAGGTGTCTCGTGAAAGCAACAGCAAGACATTGTTCAAGGATACGTAGTAAATCAGTAGAAGTCTACGCAATACTGGATCGCAGAACGCAAAGCGTGCTGCCGTTTTCCGGGATCAATGGTTGTGATTAGTGCAAAAGCGATGGTAGACCGTGCTAGTCGCTATCTGATCGTTGCAATTCGCGTCCCCTTTGTCATTCGATCGAGACTCAGGCCGGTCTGAGTGTCTGTTTTAATGCGGCGACATTTAATTCGAACCGTTTCGATTTGAGTTTTCAATTTGGCGCAATCGAGGCTCGGCCAACGCAGCCTCGAGATGAAATCTACATTTTCACGCTACGTTCAATCGCAGATGCTGAGTCTGACTAGAGGTTGCGCAATAATCGATGCTGATTATGGATTGGAAAATGCGGTACGATGTAATGAATAATACGCGGTGATAGATGTCTCGAGGATAGTACGTAATCGTCTTTTTCAGACGTCAATTTAAATTATCTAATAAAGCAAAAAGTAGATGAATTTCAATAAGAGAGAAATTGTACTAGAGTCTGTAATATAAAGTGTATGACGAATTTTTTTTCTCATTTATTGTTAAACAGTTCCAAGTCTCATAATCTTTTTATTTTTGTGTTACAGGTAAGACCACTTTATAATTCCACCTGACAGTTTTGCATGGAACTGCGACTCTAATGTAAGTGACATAACAAATACTTATTAAAAGAAGATACGCTTCATTTATTGTATTTAGTTCTACTTTTTACAAAAATGTTCTCGCGTTAGCTCGTTTTTCGCGTTCTCGACTTCGCCCACCGTCTGCTCCATTATGTCGCCTTTTCGCAAAGTTAACTCGATAACTCTTCAGATCTCGAATTCTTAAAGTACCTTCCAGGAATTCAAAAGATTTCGTGAATTCGCGTCAGTCTCCTTCCGACAGAAAAACGTCCTTCGTTGAATGTTCCTCAACTTCGCATACAGTGTCATTTTGATATTAGACTCGACATACGTTCGCCATATTTGCTATATTGCATATAACTCTATAGATATAATTTCTTCAAAATTTGCTTCCTAGTATTCAAAACGACCTACATTAGAATGTAGAAATTTTATACATGTTCCGCTTATTCGCATAATTTTTCACTTCACCTGGATAAAACGATCGATCAGAGTATTTAGCGACACCTCGGAACGATCATTAAGCATTATCCAATATGCGAACAAGAAACAATTATGCACTCGCGAACGATTGCAGACGAAGTGTAATTATAGCTACTTGTTTGCCGCATTCCATGTATGGGACGTATAGGCAATACGATCTGAAATTTGTATTTTTTATTGGAGTATGTACAGTAATCGAATAAATATAAATTGTTTGTATTTTAAACATATTTTAATTCACACACTTTTATTCATCGAATGATGTTCATTAAATCCAGAAAGTTGAAATAATTTTTTAACTACTTTGGCTGCGTCGTTCTGTGAACAAAACCAATGTTGGAGAGGCTAAGGATATCCAAATTCGCTAGGAGTTCGAATTATGTATATTATAACTCGCATCATCGCTATATTTTATAGCAGCGCGCGATCGATTCTGGGTACGTATCTCGTGTTACTCTATCTTCTTTCACGCCGCGCTCGTGTATACATAAAGTCGCGGTTCATAGCGCATCTGGTTTGAATTACGGTTCATACTTTTTACGAGTCCGGATCACAGGATGCTACATCCTACGTTCGTCTACACGTCGTTACACCACCGTAACGTGTCTGTATATCCAGAAGTTTATGTACTCTTCTCTCTCTACTGTTTCTTTAGTTCATCATCGCCCAAGTTTCGCAAGTTATACACACGCTATTCGAACATTTATGGAATTCTAGGGAAATGATTAATTAATCATTTATGATTGATAATTTAAAAGATTTTTAACAATGAATATCTATGAAATATTTTTGAATAATACAACTAATTTTAAGGATGAATAATCTTTAATACGAATCTATTAGCTTCACTTTTAGATGTATTACATGTATTGTAAAGGTCTTGCATATTTGTTAGAATTGGAATGATGATTTGCCTATTTACCACTTGAATCACTAGTATGGGCTAAGAGCAGTTTATGCAGTAAATTCCGTCGCATTGGACGATTAGGTTGGAGAGAGACTTGATTAGAGCTGTATAAGCAAATCAAAGAATGTGCAATTACTACAAAATGCCCTTTGAATTCTGATCGAAGCATTCTTGAATTTCCTGGAGTTCTCTTTCTGCTCTCGTATTCGCGTTTCACTCCATCAATATCCACATGCACGACTGTCTAAGGAATCACTTTGACGAATAAATAATTTTGTATTTGATAAATATTGCTCAGCTCTTAATTATGATAAATTAATTGCGGCTTTGTTGAATTTATAGAAAAATGTTATGTGCAGAAAATGTAGAGTGTATGTAATTTGCAAAAATCAACAGAACATCAAAAGTATAATTATAATACATATAATCACTTCCAGACATTGAAAGACATCTTAATTCATTTTTTAAATTATAGGTTTCAAACATTTACAATAGCGTCAAGACAAGACTCTATATTAATCCTCAGAATATTCATGAAAATTCTCAGATTTGTAAAGCCACTTTTTTTTAGTCAATATTAAACGGTTAACGAAATTGTCGATATCCCTCATACGTTCCACGATTCGACGGGACTGGATACAATGTTTGTTTTTAATATCGATCGCACGATCAATCGGGATTAAAAGAGGAACGTGTTAAACATGACCAGTCGAATCGAGACGTTGCGCTATGTTGCGTCGCTCGGCACGGCGTGGTACGTGCAAGCCGCGTGGATTCCGGGACGTATCGCGATTAATAAACATAAAATCGTATTTCCAACGAATTAATTACAACGCGCACCTACGTGGGTTTACTTCGTTCAAACGGTAACTCGACATAAATTGGCACGTCGAGTCCGGCTCGAACGATTCGGCTGGTTACACGCTCCATTTTTCAGCTTGTCAGGGTGAAAATGTTAGCGAGATCGACGGGAAATAGCCGCAGGAACCGCAAGTTAAGGTGCACGCGATATACGAGATTCGCAAGCGTCTGAATCGACAGATAAGCAATCAAACGGTATAATCGACAGCGGAATCATGAATAATCGATTCATTCTTGCCGTTTTTGGTAAGTTTGTGTTCTTTGCAAAACCGATATCCAATGAGGTGACTGCTGTTGGAAAGGCGTTCTGTTCAATTACCATTTAGTCCGCATCCCCTTGTATTTCGTTCGATCACGTATCAACGTTGATACGGAATAATCAGACCGATCGATCGCTGGGAATTCTGAAGATTTCCTGTTCCGGAAGCAGGGGCTCTGTTTCTATCTATACTACGTTCTCTTCAGGCGACTCGAGTGCGCTCCTGTTTCGTTTAATTTTCAATCGGCGCGTGCGAATAATCAACCGGAAATCTTATCGTTCGTTCCGATCGGCCCCCTCTCGTTGCAACAAGAGGAAGACACGGAAGAAAGGTGTTTGACGAAAATAAAGCAAAGGGTTAGGGTTAGAGGGCAAGCCTGTCCAGGATCCTGCTTCCGATCTACTGGCTGAATAAGCGACATGGGAAGAAAGTGTCATTCGATAGCAACTTCACGAAGGCTGGGGGGGGGGGCGATCGCCTGATGCACGGGTGCACGTAGCAGCGCGCGGAACGCAGCGCAGCGTCGTAGTTTTTTGCGTTCATTATTATTCGAAAGATGCTCGGGGGAGATGGAAAGAAGGGAAGCACGCCCACTTTCGGAGCAGCTCGAAGCGAACCTGCCATGCCACCGCGTGCAAAGGCGAGCAGATGGTTCTCGAGGTGGTGCGCCCTGCCGATCGACGGGCTCGGTCGTGCGAAACAGCCAACGTGATGGAAGATGAGGAAGCGACGCGACAGACAGGCCAGTCCCACCTCCTTGGGAAAATGAGACGTTGTAAACGTTTCTGAGGCGGGAAAATGTGCGATCTGGTTTGGACGAGGACACCGTGTTTTATCCTGCTGATCTCCTTCGCGCGGTCTCCGTCCCCGCGGAGCCTGTTTTCGCGACTGTTTTTTCTTTTTACGGATCTGATGATTTTTTAACACGATACCGCAGTCGACGTACCAACATACATACATGAAATGTAGCGTCTTTCCAAGATGCAATCAAGTAGGTAACAAGATATTCGAATTTCCTTTTCTTTCTCATCGATATCGGTTCGTGTATAATATAATAAATTATTTTACATTAAGCTGAGGATTATCATAAAGCGAAGCAATTGTTTACATTTATTTTAAAATTAGTTTTGACGATTTGTCAATTCTTTGATTTGAGAATTGTTTGGACTTTACGTCGTATCTAGTACCGTAGAGAGGAAGAAGATGACTGAGATACGTTTCATCTAGGCTATTTTCCTGATTGTGTGCGAAATAACAGTAAAACTGTATAGGTATATCAGACCTAACGAAGTAAATCGGTGTACTCGAGCGGGGAACACGTTCGAATTTCTCACGAACGATAAATCGGCTCTGAATTCCTAAACCTTCGCGTCTTAACGGGTATTGCCGATCATCTGTCGACACATCTGGGTCGATCCTGAGAATGTTTCACGCTTGTACAGTAGCCCATGTACAAGACCGTGGTGAATTAATGTGCATAATTTGTTAGAACAATGGCAAGAACGTGCCTCGCTCTCGAAAGCGGGGTCGTGAACGAAGCGAGCCAGCTAGAACGTGGAAATAACGAAACGAACGACAACGTTGCGTCCATGGAAAAACGTACTCTCATTCATCTCTGTCAGATTACCGACCATGAATCGTCATTTGCGTCGAAATCGTTTCAATAAAATTCAAGCAAACATGAACGCGTTACGCTTCCTCTACATCTACACGTTGAGTAAGTAGCTGATCGTATAATTTTGCAGTGTTTAGTTGATAAACAGGTATCAAGTACCTTCAGACGTATCTAGATAACAATAGTTATCTTCGCTCGTGGGAGGTGTTCATATATCTAAAGCGTAAAAGTTAATCGAATTTCGCGCGATTATTGTTTCACTCCGATTCGTTGAATTATACATATAGTATTTCATGCTGACTTGTTTCTCAAGCTATGATTAGTTTGAAATCGAAATCTCTAAAAAATATGTGAATCTGGTCCGTATGGTGCGCATACGTCACGAATAACAGTTAAAGATTTATCAATGGCATTGAAAAACGTGTTATTGTGTCAATAATAAAACAAAACTTTATTGCGTGATTGCGCGCACAATAATGCTCTAATTTTATCGTTTGGCATCAGCCTGTTCCTGACACGCTTCGTTCAATGGATAATGAAAAACGTGAGTCCTACGATGGTTTTGGCTCACACCTACCGACGCAGTGTGAACCGTGAAACGTATTCCCATTTATTAGATTCGAAACAACAGCACCCCAGTTCCTGGACTGCGAGCGCACTGATAGCGTTAACCCGCTTTAAAGCGGCCGTATCTTATCCAACGGCGGCAGCGGTACGACCGTCGCGCCTTTACGAGACCAAGACAATGAGGTCGCCATGTTTTTCTTATGTCCTCGCATGACAACCGAAAGTCAGTGCCGCATATACGTTCGTCGTCTTTCTTCCTTCTAGTCCGAAGCCCTCATCCGTGACGCCCTACCTTCGCTCGCATAAACGTAAGACTCGGAACTCTCGCCACTATGTTTCTCCCAGCCAACTGATTTGCAAACAACAATTAGGCGCCCGCTGAGAATCGCACAAAAGAGATTATTAAACTTAGATGGAGACGGATGATCTGAGGGATACTCGTCTCCAAGAGGCGATCATTTCAATTTCAAAAAATAAATGTTTGCTTTCTATCTATATGATTTGTTGGATCAATTAGATAAGGAAAGTTACAATAGGATTTTCTGAAAACGAGAATGAGTCCGGTTTCTTGTTAATTTTTATTCAGTTTAATGTAAATTCCAAAGATAGGAAATTCGAGCTAATTCAGAAAGAACCGCTTGCACTCTGTTCCTGGGTACTCTCTCTTCCTGTAAATCCGTTCTTGATCCGTCGGTAAAACAGTCTGGTGACGAAGATCTAGGAATCTGAATTGTTCAGAATGTCAGTCGGCAACATCGATCGTAGTATGGTCAAACAGGAACCTGTATTCTTGTGCTCGTTAGCGATTGATGAGTGAAAACTGTTGTACCACTTGCGATCCTGTTTCTACAAGAAACTTCCTGTTTTCAACGCCTGGAGAATGCGAATATGTATCCATTTTGTCTTTAGAATCAAAATATATCGTTTTAAGTGTACTGCTTATAAAATGCAGTAAAATCATTTGTAATACCTTTGTATAAAATTTAATACCTTAAACTTACTTTTGTTTTTTTAACGAATGTCTTGAAATAACAAATACTCGTACAAATAAAAACATTCAATTTACTACCTGTGACCAATTGCGCAAAATCTCTGCGAATCAATTGTTACCAGTACATACTTCATAAAAAAAATTTCGCGTAATTACTTCAATAGTTAACATTTTCACTGTAGCACATAAAGCGCACGAAAGTATTCCTTTCTTTTAAAAAGAAATTTTTCCATGCTTATGCCACAACGCAGATAAAAGAAAGAATATCTCTGACGAACGTACTAAACAAACAATAAATACAGCGAATGTTTTTCAAATCATTGTGTAATAAGTTTGCGAGGTTGGTTAATTCCTGTTTTATTTAAATTTCACTTTTCGTTCTAGCATATTAGCCATTAGAGATTTCATTTATTTTAACTGCACTTTAAATACTATAGAAAAAGTTTATAATTAGCAACCGTTTAATCCGCAACATAATAACAATTTTTGTTAAAAAATATTAATTGTGGCGTACTGGCAAATCGAAATCGATGTATCAGCCGTGTGTCGTACCAGACGAATATTCTAAACAAGATCGACAAACTTGGCGCCTCGTTAATAAACCACACTACCGCGACTAATTCGAGGTCTGGTTTAATCAAAAGTATGCATTTGCGTCATCGTTAATGATTGGTCCTGTCATGTGATCAATCTCAGACGATCATTAACCTTCGAGCCCCGACGTTCGTAGAATCTTTTACAAAATTATACAGTGCTACATAACGTACTAAAAAATACATACTACATTAATATGTATAATACGTACGATAATAATCCCACATACAGTCGTGGGCAATAAGTGTCTCGGTCCAATTAAAAAAGTTATTTCATTTTAACGTGTGTCCACTTAATACTATCTACGACTGAATTACTTGGGATGAATAATGCTCACAAAGTAATACACGATTTTACAAAGTTGTTATCATAGATTTGCGTTAGTGTAGAGAAACATTCCATGACTCCCGACGAAGCATCGCAGGTGCAAGATGCGACGTCGGTCGTTAGAAACGAGTGGATCTACGACTATGTACTACTCACGTGCACAGAAAGTTCGTGCATCGTGGCAGGAGTACAGAAAGAAAGAGAGAGCAATTTTTTTCGCTGGTGCATGGCCTCTCCGCACGCGTTCGCTCGTTGGTTGTGCGCGTCTACATCGGGGTCGACGGCCTTCCAGAGGATCGAGCTCCAGGTACAGCATCACCTACTGGTCGGAGAGGGAAACTCGTATTCGTATTCTACGAGAAGGGGAGACCCGTTACCACGATCCACTACTATGGCTATGGTGACTACTGTGCGGCGTTCATCCATGCTGTTTCGAACGGACGCGATGTAGTAACTCTCGAATAATGTATTCGATTTATGAACAAACCTTTGAATTGGTGACGTGGCTGCTTCTTCTTCTTCTTCTTCTTCTTCCTTCCTTCCTCTTCCTCTTCGTTCTTCTTCCTGTCGCCACGCGACCCATTGTCGCATGTGCCGGCCGATGTTACGACACTGCCGTGCGCTATTGGCCACACGAACGACATAATTAACTTTCAAATGTCAGCAGCAACGTGGCTACGTTTTTCTCCCCTTTGAAATATTATATATATTTCAACCTTCATGACTGCGAGTTACTTTCAGCTTCATAGTGCTTGAATGCTAAAGTGCTATGAAACTATAATTTGTAACCTTCTAAATCAATATTGAAATTAGAACATAAACTACAAATCATTTAAGTTATGTAAAAAAAGGTAGAGTACTGAACGAAGAACGTATGGAAAACAGATAAGAGTGTTGACGAAAACTCCAGATTATTTGTTTTCTTTCTGTGCTATAAATCGAAGCAAGGAAATCCGACTATATTATATCTCAATTACGACATGAATATGTCAGGAATTTTAAGTAGGCGTTTCGCTGTAGTGAAAATTTAACAAAATACTTGTTCCCAACGAACTATTAATAATTGAGTACAACATTCCATTTGAAACATCGCGACCTCATAGTAATTTCCTTTGTTGCAAATATAAAAGTCTATCAAAGGTTTTAAGACTGAAACATGCATTGCAATCAATATCTGCAACCAGCATTCCAAAAGAATTCGAGTTTCCTCTTCAAGTTGCATTCAGTCAGTTAACTGATGCGATTCTCTTCGATTCAGTTTCTTCACAATGATCAGTGAAGAAGACAAAAACCAATTACGAAGAAGAAACGAAAACAATGGCAACAAATCTTGTAGAACATTCGTCGACGTCGGTCTCTTCTCACGCGATTCGGTACATCTAAGTACATCAAGGTAGTCAGCGAGATCTTGGGCTTGTATACCTACCATTACGACAGCCAATGACTTCTGGCCATGTACGGCATCCGATGACCTATGATGCATGCCTAATTGCCTCTAATGACCGCTTTTCGAATTTCGAAAGTCGTCGTCGCTAGCTGTTAGCCTCGTGCTGGCCAGACCAACGACGCCAGCGAAAGAAGAAAACTGTGTGACGACAAAAACGAACGGGGAGAAACGTATTGATCACGCGACGTAATACTGAATTGGAGTTGTTAGTTGTTAGTTGTTAGTTATCTGCTCTGCTGTCATGGATCAGATATACATATCCGCGTGTCCAGCTCTTTTCTCTTCGCGCCAGTTAAGTCGCGTGCGCAACACCGTTCAGGTCGGAACTAGAATCTCCTCTCCTGGTCTACTCTTTTCATTAGCTTCGTCCTGCTTCCTCACATCGTCCTCTCGATCCTCCTCGTACCTTTGGAGACTCGTCTCGAGACTTCTTCCCAGTTTCACCGGTACTCGTTAGGGCACAGAACTTGCACAGGAACAACGACGATTCCTATCCGAACCAGACTATTTATGATCCTAACTGTAGCACTAGTCGGGACACATCGTAAATTACTATTCGGTAAATCTCGTCGGTGTTAACACTCCTCGACGTCTTTCCTCTCAATACCTCTTTCTTTTATTTCACGTATAATAAATTTCTTTATTTCTTGGGGGCTTGCCGTTCAGAATAATAATCATGTATACAAAAAGAATACGAGGAGATTACGAAGATGATTAAAAAATTGTTAGAAACGAGAAAGTGTGGTCTTATGCTATCGGAAACATTTACTGTTTCATTAAATTTACGTTTCTAGTAGGCATGGATAATTTGTCGAATGCTAACATTAAACAGGAGACAATATATCGGCGATCCCAAGAATCGACGGCAGAGTTTTACGACCAGGGGTGTAAAAGATGGTCTCGTGTTCGTTACTCCCTCTTGAAAAGCTAGCCGGGCAATGGAACTCGTTTACTTGGCTCTTACCTGAACAAGAGACCGGGACCGAGACACGCGCAAAAGGGGAATGCTTTCGTAGAAACACGGCAAGCCGGCCGCAGTGTTTGCACATTGTACGTATGTATGTAAGTGTACTTACCTACCTAGCAAACTATTCCCTATACCGCGGAACTGGAATGTCCGAGCCTGACGAGTTCGCTCGGGCGAACGGTCGATTCCGAGTTTTTGTCAGAAAAATAACTCTTTCGATAAGAGCTCGGTGGTTTGCTCGTTAATCTAACGATTAGTTAACAAGAACGTAACGAGAAAATGACATCTCTCCTAATCATTTTTTATTTATAAGTTAATCCCTCGCTATGACGCTATGTAAATTTTTTCGAAATTGTGAATATTTTACTCTAAAGTTTTCTAAAAGTCATTACAAAACAGAAGAACTTTTACCATAGAAGAAATATGCGGAATATAATACATCTGAATGTTTCATAAAGATCTTTTAAATTGATAATCGACGATCATCCCTGTCAACGACGAAATTCGGTTGAAGCCAGAAGTACTGTGACACTGTTCGCCAACGATATATAGTTACGATCAATCAGTGCGACAGGCGAACGTCTCTTAAAGGGAGATATAAATATTTCGGAAGCCGTACATCACCACTAATCTATGTTACACATTCATTACGAATCGTCGTTAACCGTCCAAAAATGGACGAACCCCGAAATCGTGTAATTCAACGAGCAAGAGAGAAAGAAGCCAGGCGAGGAGAAAACGAGACGGGGCTAAGTATACGACGCAAATTAGGCTACCTGAAAACCAGTGCGCAAGAAGCATCGCTCGCGATTAGCAAGTCGTCTTACCAAATTTAGCGAGCCGCCGAAAGCACTGTGAGCATATCGCTGGTTGGAATCTGACCATGTCACGACCCTTCCTTCCACCATTGAATCGCATCCGTCGAATGTTTCCATGCGTTTCGAAGGGAATCCGGGGCCCTCGGTGATCTTTAAACTCGAAACTACGGCATTACGGCCGAATTAGGAGTTTAAGGTCCAGTCGGTACACCGGATTAATGTATTATTCTTGCCACGGTTGTCAACCTTCGCTCTCCCCCGATACGAAACGTATAAGAATCACAAATGTCCGAGAAATGTCAACTATTCGCCATTTTATTGTATACCTAACTAACTCATTGGATTTTGGTCAAACGTGCACATAAATAATTTTCATTCGTCGCATGCCACACATTTATATTTATTTAAGGCCAAAATCCGATGAGTTGGATGTACAAACGCGAAGGCACATTTGCCGTTTAGATTGCACAAACATGGAATCCCTGGTTTAATTCTTATATTACACCGAAACGCAATATCAGAAATAAATAGTACATTTATAAAATACTTTTAATCTAGCTTATAATTTTTCTGAAAATTATATAAGTTAAAAAGATAAATTCCGCATTGATTGTTCGACATGCACGATTCGGAAGCAGAAACATAGTTGATGCACCGTGCAAATTATAGGGTACTTACAAGAAGGGAAATTAGGGAATCTGGAAGAACCGGCTCAAAATCAATTTTTGATTGTCGATCATTACAAAAAGGAGAGAAAGAAAGAGTTATACTACGGATAGCGAGGCACAGTCAAGTAATTAACCTCTGGCAAGCAATTTCCGGGGCACGTGCTGTAGGAGGCTTGTGTCCCACGGTGTCGGTCGTCTCAGAGGCATTAATTACGATTCGGCAAGGCAGCAACGAAGCCAGCTCGATTAGGGAGCCATTCAGCAGCTAAACATATCACTACTTCTTGTAAAGTGATTCTTAGTTCTTGTTTCCTTACTACCTGCAGAGTATCGTTTATTGATCCTATTAAACGTGACTCTGATCTTTTTGATAATGTTTCTCCTCGAAGATCGAAGTATACATTTGATTCGTATAGAAACGAGCGTTCGATTTCGCCGACTAATAGCCGTCCACTTTTCCTCGCGTCAGACTGGTAGCGTTTCTATTAAATTGCACTTGCACAATTTCCGTGTTTAGCGACTCGGTGTAAATCGAAACGGCCCATTATTATTATTATTTCAAACGTCTTTGCGGCGTGGGTTGTAAAAAGAGATTTAAATTCGAATCGATTCGTACTTCTTGGTGTAACATTGTGACGTTGATTTAACTGGCTTTTATCGTTGACTGAGTGTCTGTGAAATTAACGCGTTTCCAAACGTTCTGTGTTCTCAGAATTTGTTTTCAACCTGCTGTAATTTCATACGGAAGTGTTTAATTGTTTAATTTCGTATTTCTGAATTATCAATTACGAGTCGAGGTCGTACGTACACCGCAATTAGTTTGGTTGTCCACATGGAAGAAGCGAGATAGGATGTATCGTTTACATTACACGGTACATAAGTCGTGAGCGCTTTCGACCGTAAAGTACCTCCGAACGGGCCCAGTTCTCGGGAACGTTTTAATTTCTGATAGAAAGGGACAAGCGGTCCAACGACGACGTGAGTGCGTGGGTTCAGACAGACGATAAAAGTACCGGCCGTTTGATTGCCGCTGCCGCGGTGTAGATTTCCTAACTATAATCGATTTCACCAGTAAATGAGCGCCTTCTAACGGTACGGAGCTGTTTCGACATTTCCCCGCGTGAAATCTCTCCGGCTTTTTTGATTACGATTTTTTATCGGTCGATTAATTACGCCGCAATACTCGGCCGACTGTGTTTACGTCAACTCGATAAGAAATACTGTGCATGTAACTCTTTCCACTTATTTAAAAAATAGCAAAGCAATATGAGTGGTGACTATTTAAAAGATTATCTAACATTATTTTTTTTAAACTATATTTGTAATGGAGCATCGAAAGCTAGGAACATATCTCCGAAATATTGAAATACTTGTCTCTGAATTTTGTATTTGCACGTCGAAAGAGTGCACAGTGATAACAGGTCAAGGCGGACCCGAAAT